AGCGCTTCGAAGCTCACACCTTCGTTTGCTGCGAGCTTGATTGAAAACAACGACGCTCTTTCAAAACTAAAAAGTCACACCTCGTTTATAAAGTGCCGCGCGCTCGACTGAAAACAGTTGAGTCAAAATCTGGACGCTCTGCGAACACTAAAAAAATTGAAAAAGAATAATTTCCATGACGATTGCCAGGTTTCAGAGAAAGATTTATAAGCGCAAAAACAGAAATTCGGTCACACATTCTTCACTCTAACCACCGCGCGGTCGACTTAATAAAAGGCAGAAAAGTTACAATGAATGAATGACAGACAAAGAATGTTTTCAGCAGCATACCTATTAAAACGAGTCGGAATTAAAATAAAAAGGGATTTAAACCGGGGGTTGTATTTAGAGAGAAGTGTTCCGAATGCGACACAAATGGATAATTAGTTTTTGAATTGTGATCACCTCGATGCCCACAGCGGCGGTCAATTTTGCCTTGGGGTACACCGATGAGAATTGACTTTACGAGAGAAAAAATTACGCTGCCCACCCCCAAGTGCAGCTTAATTGTTGTGCCGAAAGTTTTCCGAACAACGGCGACGATTTTGGCTTGGCTTCGGACGAAGTCCCTCAGGGCTACCAAGAACAAAAGGCTATTCATTTTTGCTGAAAGTGTGATGTTGAGCCGGAACAATAGACCATTTCTTGATACGACAATAGAGAGCTGTCTGAATGAATAAACATATAGTCTTAGCTGCCAACAAGTTTCAATTTCTAAGGAAAAAAGAAAAAAAACACTGCGGCATGGTCTAAAGAAAGGACACGGCCCAAAATATTCAATTTTATGTACAAGATGGATCGTTTGATTCAGGTCAAAGTTTGATCCCGTGTTTCTACACTAACAGCGGCTAAAAACAACACGACTTGTTGGCGTGATCTTGCGTAAGCAGTTATAATTGTGCAAGCTTGGTGTTCAAGTAATCACACTATCGTCACTATACATTTTGGTGATATAATTTTACCAGCCTCGAACCGAACAATAATTTCAGTCCATAAAAAACCGTATGACATACAACAGGGATATCGAAGCGAAGTCAAATTCATAAGCAGTGCTTTCCTAGTGTTTATTTGTGGGAGATCGCTTAGCAACTGTTTTCTTAGTCAATCAGTGAAGCTCTCTGACCGTCGACTGCTGGACTTGTGTCAAGGAGGAGTCTCAAAGAAGCCATTTTAGTTGAGGAAGGATGCGGTTTTTGGAGCGAGACCAATTCATTTCAGTTGCAGCTATTCTTGGTAAGTAATTTATCTTTTTGTTATATCCGTAATTTGACTCTAACATCCGTTACTGAAGCGTAATCGAATGCAAAATCTAACCCTATGCAGATCACGAGTTCACTGCCAAATTAAACGTTTTCATCGAAGACTAATTTCCAAATCTTCCGTTAAAATGAGTTTTTGTCGTTACAGAAGCATGCAATTTTACAAGTCGAGCTCCAAAGCCACAAATTACCATGAATTGACACGGCACAAGAAAGCTTTCTTCAAGGACTTATCTCGCGCTCAGGTTGAAACTGAATGACGCATGTTAATTTCACAGTAACCGATCGTTGCCATCCTTTATAAAATTAATTCATATATCGAATCTTTAATTTATATTTGTATGTGCTATATATATTTTTTGCCCAAGAGTTTAAAAAATGTAGTGTATAAAACAGCAGTTTACTTCTGTGCAAAAACATTACCAAAGTGTCAGTTTTTGTCGATTTCTTGACAGAGAAAACGCTTATGGCCGTTTGAACTGTCCCTTACATCATATTTCACAATACATGGAAACCTTCTGAGGAAAAAAATACATTTCAAGCCAGATTCAAAATTCAGATTCCTTTTAAATGGTTTCTGAAATTTTCTTGTCCTAGCTTTAGATATAATGGTCAGCTGAAGTAATCGAAATTAACCGAACACATCTCATTGCAGTCTTTACATTTTGCTAATTATGAATATTCAAATCTTTTAATTTATTTAGTACAGCTACTGTTCACACATTAAGTGTCCTTGAATAAACAACCCTGAAATCCGTTTACTGAACCTCCCCTCAGTGAAGCATTTTATAGCTTAAGCCACAACGTTTCAGTTTCTCGGTGGGATAATTAAGGGACTTCAGATTGGATCGAGTACCAGTACGAATTTTCAATTCTAGTTTGCCGTCTTCACATTATCACATCACATACCCATCTCATCCCATGAGCTGCCCTCTCTGCCTAAAACCAACATGAAATGCGAGGGCTCTGGAAACGTCACTGGTTTGAAATTCGAAAATCGTACTCGTACTCAATCTCGCACCCCGTAGTCCAATCTAAAATTCCCTATAAATATCAGCTAAATCAAATCTAGATGCAGTTGAGGAACGTGCGACTGAGTCGCCTACAGAAGGGAGCAGGCAGCTCAGTCAAGTGGGCCGTTACAAATATTTTTCATGCTTTTTAAGAGCCACTGCCCACAAATATGGACCAAACAACGGCACAAGCCGAAAAATCGATTTTGCTCATTTTTTGCCCAAAGATTGGCCCTAGCTAGAGAACAAACGGACCATAGTTAGTTTCTGCTAATGCAGCTTTTTTTGGAAGAAATTTGCGAAAAACGATTTCTCCCCGATTGAGCTCAAAATCTACTTCCAGTTATGCTGAATTTTCTGGAAATTTGATTGCTTCGCACGTCGCACAACAGCTACTTGAGAATCTTTCAAT